CCTGGAGATTCTCAGTGGAATTTGGCAGCCTGAGTCATTTGCTTGGCGGGGAGAAGATGACCGTCTGAGGGGCTGCGCCAAGTCACTGGATGTCCAGCGGTGGACACTGGTCACTTTAGAGGGTTATTCTGTGAATCTGCGGGACAGGCGTGAGCTGCACTGGATGGTCTGAGATAATTTGTTGAAATCACACAAATGGAACTAGTGTTAGCAGAGGATGAGGAAATGGATTCCTCATACAGAACCCTTTGTCCCGAGATGGGATGCTCGGCACACTCACAGTATTCTTTCCCAAAATGGCCTTCCCGTTTCCACCCTCTGGAATGGCCCTCTAATCTTTCCTGCACAGGATGGCTCACGTTATTTCCTCAATAAACAGAGGTGTCCTTTAGACCGTTCAAGGAGAGCCTACAAAAGGCCAAACTGTCAGGTCTTGTGGGGAGGTGGGTAAGCAGACAAGCACGGCCCGGGGTGATTCACAGAGGGTGCCGCAGACACCCACTCAGCCTCCCCTCCTGGAGAGGAAAGCCAGGGAGGACTTGCCCAGGAAAGTTCCATGATTCAAAAGGAGAAGACAGAGGAGATGCAGATTCCCTGGAGAGTCCTTAGAACTACACCTAAGATTCTCTCTCACATCCACATTTGAAGAAGGCCAAGAAGAACCTTCTCACGGGTTCCCAGGGCGTGGGGCTGAGGGTGGAGTCTGAGGAACAGGATGGAGACCTGGGCCCCAGCCTCCTCTCTTTAAGAACAGCTCTCAGCTGGTTTAAAATTGATCCTGGTAGAAAGGTTTCCACAAACCTAAGGAGAGGACAAACCTATAAAATAACAGGTGAACTCTCAGGCAAAGCCTTCAAGGTCCCCACACTGCTAGTAAGCTTCACTCCCTACCCCTTCAGGGAATAGAATACCCCTCTAGACTGCAAAGACCTGAGAGATGGACCCTGGACGATCAGGGGGTGGGGAGGGTGCATGAAATGTTGATGGGAAAACCAGAGACTCTGGGACAGAAAGACCTGTTTGTGGACCCAATCAGTTTCTATTCTGCAGAGCCAAAGCTGACACCCCTCCCCCACCATTTTCCCAGAGGACCCCAAGTTTCTTTTCTAATGGCACCTACCCCAAGAACCTTGCTTTACACCACCACCCAAACGTGGTCCTCTCCACCCCTGCAACCGCGGTCCCGTCAGGCTTCAGTGTCCCCAACCCCTATCTGCACACCTACCTCTAACACATGTGGGCCAAGTTCTGCAGCAGAGACTGCCATCTCGCCCATCTCTGATTCCAAACAGAAAAAGGAAGAGCAAGAAGGCAAGTCTAAGACCAGCCTGCACTCCGGGAGGCAGGAACGGCAACCTACATGGCCTGGAAAACCCAATTCATTCTCAAAAGATGGGTTGGGTGGCCTTCGGGGGCAATACTGGAGTTTGGAAAGGGCTAGGGTGGCTCACCTTGAATAGGACTCTACTAATTTGATTCTGGACAGTCACCTGCATGAACCTCAATTTTCTGACCTGAGAGGTGGGAAGAATGTCTTCTACCTTGATTGGATAAGGCATTACCCTGACCTACCAGCCATGTTACCCAGAAGACAGCTATTTATATATAGCACACTCATTAAGGGCCAGATCCTGAGGACACAGGTTGGCCAGGAAGTTCCTGCCTATATGGCCACTTCCACCATCTCCTCTCCCCCAAGGAGCCCTGACATCAGGCGGATCCTTGGCCCATCCCAGATCTACCAAGTCAGGCTCTCAGGAGACTGGGCCTGGAAATGTGCTTTCAAACAAGGTTCCTAGGACATTTTTATGCAACCTGTATTAGCTTAGTAAAAATTACAGGTGGGGTCCAGTATCTGCAGGCATATTCCCAGGCATGAGTGAGTTTCCCCGGACTCTGCTTGTTGAGGGTAAGCCTTAAACATGTTTTCCATGGGCATTAGCAGAGCAAACACCTACGTGCTGGTTCCCACGTGCTGGGCAACTGTTCTCAGTTTACACAGGCTAATTCAATATTTACATATATCAATGAGACTGTGTCGGTCATTTTCATTTCACAGAAGAGGAAACTGAGGCACGGTGCTTCTGATGCCTCCTGGCACTTTTCATTATAGCCTAATTTCTACAAGGCCCCCAACATGCTGTCATGGAAAAGAACAGAGGCAAGTCCTAAAATTATCCTGGACTCAGTTTCCTCATCCACTTAATGGAGCCAATATAGCCCAAGCAGAGCTCTTGCAATGATTAAAGGGATGAGGGTTTGATGTGGGGTGGGGGGATGTCCTGTCCCTCTCTAGCCTGCCTTCAGGCCTGAGTCAGGCCTGCACCCAGCTTGAATCTCAGACGCTGAGTCATCACCGTGAATTTCTCCCAGAGGCACAGGGCCTTTGAGTCACGCCTTGAATGGGATTCTCTGAACTTGGGTCTGAGGAAGGACTGCAGCTACAGGCCATCAGAACATATGTGATCTTTCAGGCCAGTGCAGAGGCAAGCTCAGACCAGCAGGTTTCAATGCACCCCTGGGGCCCCCCCAGCTCTGTTCATATCAGTCATCCATTTGGGGGGTGTGGCCCAGACCCAGTTAAAGGTCACCCTAGGGGTCTGCAGCCCTTGATCCCTTTCTCATGAGACTGATTTTGCTAATCTCCTGAATTGTACTCTTTTTAAAAAAATACATGAATTATACTCTTTAAAAAAAAAAAAAACCTGAAATTCTGCCTCTTCTGCCTCAAAAGTTTCCTCACCAATTGACTTTAGCCCCTCCATAGTAGACAGGCAAAATCATGCTGGGAACCCTTTTCACTGTCTTCAATCCCAACCAGGAGACTCCTGCAAAGGGGTCTGGAGTCTGAGCTCTAGTTCCAACTCAGCCGTGACACATCCTTCCCTGTCGCTGGGTCTCAGCTTTCATATGCAACATGGAAAGAAGTGGACCAGGTCTTGTGTGAATTTTTAACTTCACTCCAAATAATCAAACCAATAGTTAGCAATTCTGAATTTGCTCATCCCTCCAAAGGAACTTTCTCAAGAAAAAAAGCCCTAACAGATGATCCAGGTCCCCCTAAAGCCAGATCCAACACCTCTGTCCATACAGATTCAAGTGCCTCCTTGGGAAGGCAGTATCATAGCGCATTCCCCACCTGCTATCATAGCCGAATGGGAGGAACACAAGGAGACACTCAGTTCATTCCATGACATAGCTCAACTCCTCCTATGTGCCAGGTGCCAGGTCACAGGGGAGGGAGGTAGTCTTTCTCCTCACCCTGGTACAAGTTTACCCTCTAGTGGGAGACAGAGTCTCACAAAGCTAAGTTGACAGGTCAAGAGGGCACCAAGTTTTCCATCACTTACTGTCAAGCTCTCTCTTACCCGGTGCTGCCCCGCCTTGGGGCTGGCTCTGCTGCTGCACATGGGCACAGAACCCAGGTCTGAGCATCCTGTGCTCCTCCTCCACCAGGCCAGGGGCCCCTGAAAGGCAGATGCTGGGCTCTCGGCACTTTGTTTATTTCAACCACACACCTGAAACTCAGTAAGGATTTCTGAGTTTCTGTACAAGAGGTGGGTGGGCTGAAAAGTTTGCCTTGAAAATGCATTTTCACAGAAAGAACCAGGTTTATATTTAGATATGTTCATTTGAAGTAGGAGGTTATCTACTGCTGCGGGGCATTCTAAGGGTGTCTAAAGCCCTCCTGCAGGGCCACTGGCTGCCCTCTGAATATTCCCCAGTAGTGTGAAGGGTCCAAACAAACTCCAGTGCCCAAGGACATGGTCGTTCTTGGAATCAAGATAGCCAGGGCCCTTTCTCTCAGATACACTACTAGGCACTTTCCACTTCCAAGCTACCCAGGGGTGTTGTTCAGACCTCCAGGGACAGCAGACAGCAGAGGGAACAAGAGGAGGACGGGGAGGTTGGTGGTAAGGAACCAATCCACTAAATTCCAGCTTTAGCTACTAATTTGACAGGCGTGACAGCAGGTTTCCCTAGAGCTGTCCACATTCCACACGCCCAATCTCCTACCCAAGGCTGAATCAGAGACCACGGTGGATCTCCCAAGCACCTCAGAGCAATTCCAGCCGTTCCCCCGCTGGAGTGCTGGAGAGCCCGTCTCGCCTGCCCCAGAGACAGGGAAGGAAAAGAAAGTGAGGGAGGGTGGGCGGAGGCGAAAATGACGCCACTCCCTGCTCCCTCCAGCTTAGGGGCCTCCAGATGCCCCGCAGAGCCCTCTTGCCCCAGCCATCTCTCTTACACCGCCACAGTGGCAATGAGGGACACCTCGGGCGGCAGATCCACCCTGCCCAGCCGCGCTCGCACACACTTGTTCCCGCGCGTGTCGCACACGCTGTGACACACCCCAGGCCCTCCACCTACACGTACACCCACACCAACACATAAGGACTCACGCACACACACCACCAGCCTCTCAGACCCACACCGGTTCCTTGCCCAGTCTGGGAACCAGACACACCCACGTCCCCTTCCGTAGCCCCTTGCTGAAGCCGCTCACCCCTACCCACCCCCATCCACATACGAGCGCGTCCCCTTCCTCAGACACGCACACGCGCGAGCGCGCGCACATACACACACGCACACACACAAAAACACACACACCCTAGTCGCTTCTGCGCCCACCCCCGCCAGCGGCGCCAGCTATGATTCCGGACGCACGCTGGCAATCCCGACCCAAGTGTTCCCCAGTCGGCTCGCCGCCCTCCTCCCCGACCCCCAGAGCCCCACTTCCACAGCTCGGGGGAATGTGAAACCGGACCTGCCTTTTCCCTCCTCCTTCTCTCTAATCAAAACCCCTACTCCGGCGGTGCCGGAGCCCCAAAGCCCCCTCTTTGCTCTGGCACTACCGGGTCTCCACATACTCGAGGCTCCGGACACCTGTTCCTGGAGCCCACGGGGCCACTAAGGGCTGTCCAGGAGCTCCAGCAGCATCCAGCGGGCGACCCCCTTCTGCTCCTCGTCGTGTCGGGGAGAAAGGGCGTCGTCGGGCTTACCTAAAGCAGAGGAAGGAAGGAAAGGAGTCGGTGGCTAGGTTGGCGGTTCAGCGTCCACAGGGAGCCGAAGAGGGTGGTGAGGAGGGTGGCACTCCGGCGCACGGCGAGCTCGAAGCCAGGCGGGGTTTGTTTATGTCCCAGTGGAGAGCGACTTTATAGGCGCTGCGGCCCCGCCCCCGCTCCTCGCCCCTCCCCGACCTTCTCGGCCTCGCACGCAGCGGGGACACACCCCTTCCCCACTCCCTCCTCCCCGGCGCGCTCGGCTCCCGCCGCAGCCTGTTGCGCAAGCCTTTGTAAGGGCGAGGCAGGGAGGGGCCTCCCCTGGACTCCGGAGCTGAGGTTCGGCTTTGCTGTCCCCTAGGAGTCCTGGGCCTCGGCGTGTGCAGCGGGCGTTTATGCAAAGGAGACGCGTGTGTGCATGTCAGCGCTCGGGCGTGTGGATGTGGACTTCCATGTGCCTCTGCGTGGCTGAGCGACCCCATCTCTGCCTCAGAGTTTCTTCTGAGTCTCTTCGCGCCACGCCCTGACAACCCCTCTGGGCGACTCCCTTCACTTCCTCCAGGTCTCCCTGGTTCAGCTACCCCCGCCCCCTGCCCCTCCAGCCGCCTGCCAAAGGCAGCTGCCTCCTGTGCTGCCTCCGGACCAACTCCCAGCTCCCTGCAATTCTCGCTCCGCTCTTCTTCCACGTCTCCTCAGCTCTCTGCTGAAATTCTGCCTCCCGTTTAATCTCGTCCATTTTGCCCACCGCATTCCATAGGCGTGGTGGTGCCTTGGGCTCCTCTCCCCTGCCCCACAGTCCCTGCCAGAAGGGAGGATCCTTGCCCCTTTCTCTACTGATTTCCAAAACTTGCATCACACACCCTTTCCAACCTTAGCACTGCCCTGCTCTGCTGTCCAGTTTCTGTGTAACTATTGCTTGCATCCTCTGCTCTGCCCAAAGAAAGCAGCAGCTCCCAACTCTTACTGCACAGGAGACGCCCCAGTCCAAGTAAATCAGAATCTCAGGCAGAGAAGATTGAGCTGGCACAGGGAGTTTTTACAAAACTCTCCAGGTGGTTTCTCATGGGCAGCTGGGCTGGAGAAGCATCGCTTTATGAATCAAGGAAAACTGACTCACAGCTCACATGGTCACTGTCCTCAGGCTACCTCTCTACTCTTAAACTTCACTCTGAGTCCAGGGCCAGAACCAGGGAAAGCTTAGGACCCCCGTTTCCTGCCCCCCCCCCACTTTCTACTGAACTGAAAACCTCTTTCTTCACCAGCCCATGCTGTCCTCAAGGCAGGGGACCAGGCTTACCTGTTTGCCTCTATAGGCCTGACACTCACTTAAACTGTCATTCTGCAAATGATAGAATCGAACTCCTGCTCTGAGCCAGGTCCTATGCTCGGCCACTGGGAAAGGACTAAAAAGACACAGCCCTTTCTTTGAGGATGTAGAGAGCCCTAAGACTCATTCTCTATCCGCGCATTAAGGTGGTTAAGCAGAGCTCCTTCGTTCCGTGCCCAGGCACCATTCTAGACCCTAAGGACATGGTCATGAGCAAAACACTTTGCTCCGTGGGAGCCATCCTGTTGTCTGAGGACCCGCCCTGATCTAGCAGGTGAAACAATTTTCTTTAACACCACTTAGATACATACATTCCCCCACAGACTCCCTGTTTTGGCTGTTTGTTGAGTGAGCACGTGTGGTTTGTTACCTACTCATGACACAGAGTATTAACTTTAAAAGCAAGGAGGAGGCTGCCCACTCCTTCAGTAACAAAGGAACCCTCCTGTGTGGGTTGGAGAAGGGTGTTTAGCCAGAGGAGGCCTTTGCCTGTCCCTTTGATGAAGACTTCAGGGCAGGACACTAAGAACAGCCCAGATCTTGGGCTTGAAGCCCAGGGGAAGTCTGGGCTTGCACTCCAACTTTCTGGAGGACCATAAGCATTGAGCAAGGCAGAGGACAGGAGAAGAAGTGGAGTGAGAAGAAAAGAGCAGAGAGAGGAGAAAGGAATTGATAGTGGCATTCCGTTAATAAAGCCCGAGTCCAGATCACCTGGGAAACGTCCTGAGGAGGACGCCATTTGCATCCTGCACTCACTCTCTGGATAGGTCCAACATCAGTTTTTCTTTCATGTTGCAGTGAAGTTTTTCTTCCACTGAGCACCAGATGAAGTAGTTTCCTCATCTTCAGCTAAGGTGGTTGTGCTGTAGTCCGATCCTCGTTGCACACACGGATGGACAGTACTCGTCCTATGAAAGGGTCACCCACGGGGAGCTGAGCGCTGGCTGTGCGTACACAGCCCCCAGCCCTGGCCAGCTGAGGCAGCAGAAGCTCTTGGAGCTGAATGTGGGCGCAACTGCACTGAACTGTTGGAATTATTTCTCTTTCTCACTGGTCAGCAATAGAATCAGGTCTGCCTAGTAACTGCACATGCGCTGCAAATCCATCACAGGGCGAGACTGGATTTTCTGGGCCAATGTCTACTGGAAATTTCTGTTGAACAACACCTTAGATTTTACCCTGGAATATTCTATGATAACTAAAATGACCATAGGAATTGTCTATTCCCAACCTTCTTTCTTAGAATCCATGGGTACTTGGGAGGTGGGAGAAACGCATCTGGAATTCATGGAGAAGAATACAGTGGTCTGTGGCCTTGAATGTGACTTTGCTGTTTGTGAGCTGTGGTACCTTTGGCAAGTTACTCAACCTCTGTGTGCGTGGAGGAAATGGATGAGAGAAATCATCAGGACTTTCAGCCACACTTTGCTGGCCCATTGCTGCAGCCCCATATTCTTTTCTCTCCCATTAAAATGACAAAGTGTCCCTGCAAAGTCAGTGTCACCCCAGTTCCAGTCCTCAGCTCCCATGGGATCCGCTCTTTCCTACAGCATCTATGTCTCTCGCTTCTGGATCATTCTAGTTAACAAGTAGAAATTCGCAGCAGTCACTGACCCTCCTAAACCAATCCCCTCTCCAACCCCAGGCCCTCTAGCTATAGCAGCTCAACTGCTCTCACCCCTTCTTCCTTGAACTTCTCATAATAGGCATCTGTACACACGTGTAAATCTCATCTCCTCTTTCTTTTTAGTGTTTGAATAGTACACTAAATAATTCTTCAAAACTTGTTTGGAAAAGCTCTAGCCTTTGTCTCCTCACTTCCCCATTTCCGTCTTCCTGGAAGCTGCCACTGGCATCTCTGGGATGAGCCTGTGTATTTATGTCTGCCACTTACCAGCTGTATATTTTTGGGTAAATTGTTTAGTTTCTTGCCTTAGCTTTCTCAACAATACAATTCCTGTACGATTCTGGGGTTACTGTGAGAAATACATGTGTTACTATATGGTCAGAGCTCAGAACAGTGCCTAGCACATAGAAAGCTCTCGATAAAATGCCAGCCATCATCATCTCATCTCATCTCATCGCACCATCTCACGTTACCCTGCCTGGCATCTTGCACAATAACTGATGCATGGAGGTAGCCAAGGAAGTGAGTACATGTAAGCACTTCTATTCGAATCCGTTCTACTTTATTCAGTCTTGCTGCTTGGACTCTGCCGGGAGGGGAATGAGGCTTTTTCTGCTTGCTTCCTGATCTCCAGTGTGGAGCGAGTCCCACCTGTAGTTCTTTATCTATGTAAATATAAATTATCCCCATTCTCTGCAAGTTGTCCTGTAAATATGCACTGTGTGCAAGGGAAAGAACTGGGAAAGAAAACCATCTTAGGTGAGGTTAAATGTGAGGCTATGTTCGGGGTACACAACAAATCCTTTACTTTGAACATAAATGAAGCGTGTACAACATACAGCCCATAAAAGATCAGCTTCAGCCTGGTGCAGTGGCTCAGGCCTGCAATCCCAGCAATTCGTGAGCTGAGGTGAGAGGAAACTATTCAACCCAGTACGTGCTTACTATGAACTTAGTGAATATTTGTAGTCTGTTTGCAGAGAGACTTACTCAGTGGGTGGCCTCCCTTTTGTCCTCTGTCCCTCCAGTTCCCTTCATCCCATGCTCAGTTGTCATCTTGAGACCTAACTCCTAGGTCCTGCCTCATTAAACCATTCTTTGCTCCTATATCCTGCTAAATTCACCACCCCCTCCCTGGTGTGGCAATTGGGGACATCCTTCCACAAGTCCAGGCTTGTCTCTTCCTCCCCACATTCTCCTCCAGCCACTTGCTTCTGTCCTGAGTGTACCTGTCTCGTCCCTACCTCGAAGTCTGTGCCACGCTATTTTCTCTTCCTTCCTAGAAAGCCTGCCTACCTGCTTCGCTGTGGAGCCTTCACTCGCTCACACATCTGGGAAACACACCAGGGCTGATCAGCACCCGCTTCACTTTTCCGGCTTCCTGCCCTTCCCTCCTTGAAGTGAGGTGTGTCAAGGAGACCTGCATTGTCAGAGGATGCTAAGAGGAAGTGACAGTGCCACTGCCAAGAGGGAGCTTTCATGGCCAGTGTGTGATTCACCTGCTATCCTTACTCTTGCCACTGTGGGTGGCAACACCCCAAATGGTGGAGGCTTCATTCCCAGCTTGGGGGAAGGAAGCACAGAGCTGGGCCCCCAGCTGACCCCAAACAGACAGAAGATATGGGGGCTTCTATTGTTTGAATGATTGTGTTCCCCACTCAAAATTCATATGTTGAAACCTGAATCTGTTATGATGGTGTTAGGAGATAGGGACATCCATTTGGGAGGTGACTATGTCATGAGGGTGGAGCCTTCGTGAAAGGGATCAGTGCCCTTATTAAAGAGATGCTAGACAGCTGCCTTGGCCCTTTCTCCATGTGAGGTTACAAAAAGGCAACTGTCTACAAGCAAGCAGACCCTCATCAGATGCCAGCACGTTGACCTTGGACATCTCAGCCTCCAGAACTTCGAGAAATTAATTTTTGTTGTTTATAAACCACCTAGTTTATGGTATTTTTTATAGCATCCCAAATAGACTCAGACGGAAAGAAATAATCCCTGCTGTCATGTTCTGCTAAGATCCTGAGGGATTTGTTTCTGCAGCCTCACATAACTCATCCTGACTGATCTACCAGCCTCTCGGGCCCTGGCAAAATGCCAGCTCCTCCAGCAAACCTCTCTGGTTCTCCTCCAGTGAAA